TGCGTGCGTGCATGCGTGCAGGTTTGTAAGTGATGAAGGTGATGAAGGCTGCCCACTGTCAGGAGGGGCAGATTCCATGAACATCTGCTACTGACACACACACATACACACATCACAGCATGTAAAGCGAGGAGGAGGAAGTGGGTGGAAAGAGAACAGCTCAGACACATGCTGCTTTGTGACATTTACATGTATTTGTGTTTACCTGTACATATGCAAACCCCAACTGCACACACACATGATCTGCCTGCTGTTCAAAAAGAAGCATGTAAACACAACAAAAACCATGTGCACATACACATCTTGTATAAGTTTTGTGTGTTTCTGAGAAACTCTGAATAATTTCAGAACTTAGAAGTCCTTGGAAGCTAACCTCCTCCCCACACACACCATCCAGTGCATTGGCAAACATAATTATATAATTATAAATAATAATTAAAACATTAAAATATAGATTCAATTTAATAATACTTTTTTTTTTTTTTATTGAAATTCCAAGTGGAGTCTGTGCACATTAGGCGTAGGGGCTCAACACGTGAATCAACTCTTACTAGTGTGACTTCCAAATTGGTTGTTTGCATGAGGGAACCGATGAAGGACAGTATTTAGGAATGGTTTTCGATAGGCGATTTTATTTTTAAATTATTTTTCCAATTGGCAATATACTTAGATTCACTGAGCTCAGACTCTAATCTCTTATCAAACATGTTCTCTCTCTTTGCTCCAAGAGGAATGTACAAAACATTTTTAGCTGGTGCTGAACGTCAATATTACATTCAGTTAAAATTCCAAATAATGTGCTGATTTCACACATCCAAGACTATTTACTGGTCTTGGGAAGTACTAGTAAGTTATATCAAGTATTTTGTGGCTCTGGGGGGAGCTATGCAAAATCAAATAAATTGCCTTAAGTGATATTACTCTAGGCTACTAGGCCTACTCTAGTGTTGGAATAAAATAAAAATGTGGAGTTGAAGAAGTGATGTTACCAGACCTCTGTAGCCCACTCCTTATCTCTGCTCGAGGCCATGAGATCGAGGTTGCTACTTTATTAGCATAACAATCTCCAATCGAACTGACTGCAGTTGACTTGCATTGTGGGTAATATAGGCACAAAGTTTTGACAAGAAAGAATGCTCGATATGTGTCCATCAGAGTCCAACAATGTTAAAACCACTAAAATAAAACATGTTTGCTTGATGTGCCATGTTCAAGCCAGTGCCTGTACCCGCCCAAAATCATTTCTGTGGGAAAAGAAAGCTTAGCTCACAATCTGAGCTACATCAGCTGATCACAGCTGATCGTAAACAACCTACATCAGCTGATGGCTCAGCTCATTCTTTTCAAGCATCCAATTGGCAAATATCATACAGGGCGCCTTATTTAAGCCTGCCTACCCTTGCTGCTTCCTCTGAAAGCCGCTTTGCAACCTGCCTCCACCCCAGCTCCTCCTTTTATGCTGTATGTGATTTAATTAATATAATTTCTGTTGTCACTGATGCGTGCTCTGTTATGTACCCTATGGGGGTCTTTGCAGCTGCTCTCCTTAAGCTTTCCATGTGTGCACACGGAAGGGCAGGGAGGTCCCAGAACAAAGCCATACCACCAAATATAACATACTGCAGTTGGAAATAAAGTTTTCTTTTTGACCAAAGTGGTTCTGACTGAACTGTGTTTTTGTAGTTCACCAAGACCAATGGAAGGGTGACTTGTCTCTAAAGAAATCATCTTGCTGATCGCATCTCAATTCAGTATAATCTCCCAGTTAAGCTTGCATGCACATAGTATCAATATTTTAAGCTTATCAATTAAATTGCTTTGAATTGGGGATCCTGTAATAACTTTTTGGTAGATATCAACGTTTCATGTTTTCTGTCAATTTAATTTACAGGTTCTAGTGTATATAGAGTTTTTAGTTATTTAGGATAAGTGTTTCAAAAGGATAAGTGGATTTAATAGTGGACTAAAAAATGGCATCCTGAAAGCATTTTAGTGAACCCTATTGATTTGATAACATGCTATATGATAAGCAGTAATTAATGGTTCCTATCTGAGGGGGATCATGTGAACATCAAGGAGAAGAAATATCCAAGTCTCACATCGCTATCATGCATTCAACCAATGCCTCTCCCACCCTCTCTCATTACATTCTTCTTTCATCCCTCCTTCCTCTCCTCTAACCCAACTCTTCTGTCTTCCTGTCTCTCCCTTTTTCATGGCACTCTTCCCTCCATTGTTCCCATCCCCCCACTTCTCTCTGAGAGGAGGACTGTCAGCAGGGCCATATATCTGACACAGTGCACCATGGACTCCACACACTCACACACACATATATATCCAATATGCGATATAGTGTTCACTAATGGGGCAGCGGGTACGAGGGGAATGAGAGATGGAGTCGGCTGGGCGTTTGAGTCCATCAGAGAGGTTATATAAGACACTTGACGAGGACTTTCCTTGGCCATAAATCTATAACCTTATGGAAGATACTATAATGTCAACAACAGCTCCATTAATATCACTGGATTCCCGTACAGGGCCAAGAGTAGCCATAAGTTTTAGGCCCTATGCAATACCAAGAAATAAAATCAAGTGATATTGATGTCAATTAGGGCTGTAACTGATCATTATTTCCATTACTTATTAATCTTGGTTATTCTTTGGATTCATAATGTATTCCATTAAAAGTCAGTGAAAAATGGACCATCACAACTTCCTCAGGTGACATTTTCAAATGGCTTTTTTTGTCCAACCAACTGTTGGAAGAAGCAAGAATATTCAATATGCAATTATTAAATAAAGAGAGAGAGAAAAGCATCAAAGGCATTTGACATTTTAGAAGCTGGAATGAGTAAACGTTTTTGCATTTTTGTGTGACAGAAAACTTAGACGATTTATAATAATAAAAGTTTTTTGTACTTCCTGTCAATCAACTAATCATTTAAGCACTAATGCTGATATACAGACATCAGCTCATGCTACAGATTCTGTGGTTGACCATCTGTCATCACTGAAACTGTGCAGCCTTTTAAACAGAAATGAATGCAGCAATTTGAGCATCTTAAAGCACACCATGAAATCCAAAATGTTAACTATCCACAGCAATGTTTTTATCTTTTATTGATGGTTACAATATTTTGGAGTGCCAGGATTCATTTCTGACAAGCAGCCGGATCGCTGAGATATCTACACACATAAGATACATAGCCTGAGCTAATTCAACAGTATCGCTACCAGAACTACTCCTTTAAATGGATTAATTCATGTGGCATGTTCAGCAGGGTTCAGGCTTCATGCAGCTCTGCACTCGGACTGCTCTGCTCAGGCTCACTAAACATATCGCACTCGTTCTGACACATGAATAATGTGGAAAATGGAGAGAGAGGAATTCCACTTCTGTTCCTTCACCTGATCCAAGTGACTTATCCTCTCTGTCTTCACTCTGTTTCTCATTTCTCACACACACCATGCAGTCGCACTCTTTCACACTTTCTCTCCCTTTCGCCTTACACAGAACACACACACACACACATACACACACAAACACACACAAACACACTCTAACACCAGGCAGAGTGCTGGTTCTCCTTGGCAGGTTGCCTCTTTCTAAGAATGTTTGGTGCTACAACCCTGAAGGAATACACCCTCAGCGCCTTCGACACGCTGCCTCATGAAGGCTAAGATGCTGACACAAGTGATGAATGACAATCAGTAGGAGAAACCAAATGTGTCTTAAAGTTATAAACAATGAAGTCACTCTGTAGTCTTTGACAAGAAACATGTGCACAAAGTCCTTGCTTGTACAATAAACACAGAAGATCAACTGACTGATTTGCCTCTATTACAGGAATATGATTACGGCAAACTGTTTACAACATGTAACGTCAGAAATTATGTCTTGAAAACATAATCTGAGTTAGCTGAAGTAGGTGTAACTCTTTTATACATTGTTCGAATCAATATTTGTCGAACACAAGTGGCATGGATGAGGACTTTAACTGTACAATTGTATTGTCTGCAACACATTAGGTTTAGCAAATGAACTGATTTCTATGTCGTATATTAAAATGTATGCTGCAGAATGTTACAAGAGGAATAAAGAAAAAGCAGAATCACAACAGCTGCTACATGACAACTGCAACAATAATGTGCAAATCAAAGCACTGCTCCATGCATTGACAATATCCAGTGATGGTGGCTAAAACTATAATACCCAGCTGGTGTTCATGAGAAAACAAACACACATATCAACATAAAGTAATCCTGTTTTCTTACTTGACCAATCTCATATAACTCCTGATGTTAGTGCAGGTGCATGGATATGTTTACCTCACCCACAGCGATGGAGGTAAGGGATTTTCATCTGCAGTATCTAATCTTGTTGCAAAGAAAGCAACAGACTTGCAAGCCCCAAACAGCTTCTGCAAGAACTCATTTAGACAGTAATTTACTGACATGGCATGGAGTGCACAGGGGCATTTATGAGTTGCATCACCAAGTTTGTAAATACAAGTCAAATCCAAGGGAGCCAGATTTTATTGAAGTATACAGTTGGTGAACTGAAAAAAATAAAATATGAATTAATTGTGCCTTTAAATGTGTCATATGAGTTTGGGATCTCTTTTTTCACATCATTTAGAAGGTATGCAAAGTTATATGGTGTTTAATAAATGGCATGCTGTTAGCCAGGTCCCACAATACATTTGAGAACTATTCAAATCAACTATAAAACATAAAAGTTCCTTATGAAGGTGGCTTTTATATCATATGAGATTAAAAATATTTGCCTGTGGGGTAAATTATAAGGTCTCTCTAGAGCATCGTCTCTATTATCACCAAACAATAACGTACATCTAAACGCATTGAAAAGTGCGAACCGCAGTGCAAACTAAACTACTGAACATCACCGACGCGCAGAGTGTCGATCCGCGTAAAACCTGAAAACTAAGTGAACGTCGCTACTTTTGCTCCAGTTTTTTCTCCCGTAAACTAACGTGTACCTGGTTGGTGGTGTCAGGCGGCAGGTTCTTAATGAGGATTTTCCTCCTGTTGCTCAGCTCCTGGCGAGTTTTGGCCAGCCTCCTCTCGATCTCCTCCGGCTCCAGGTCCGGCAGGTCGCGGAGGCTAATCCCCGAGTCGGAGGGCTGCGCCGCCGCCGCCGCCTCTTCATCCTCCGGCTGCCGGCTCTCGGGGCTGTCCATCTCCGGAGAAAGTGCGCTCTCCCCGGCTAGAGAAGAGTGAACGCTCGGCGGCTGGATGGATGAGGCTGCCGCCATCTTGGGTATCTGAGTGAAAAGTGTGAGGGAAGTGAGAGAGAGAAAGAGAGAGATAGAGAGAGGGGCAGGTGGGAGGTTTCAGTAAAAGAGGAGAGACGGGAAGAAAGAAAGAGAAATCCGAATAAAAATGAAAAAAACTTATTTTGTATAATGGGTGCGCGCTAGGTTGCTTTTTTTTTTTTTTTTTTTTTTTTTTTTTTTTTTTTTTTTTTTTTTTTTATTGTGGTTTTTGGTTTTTTTTAATTTTTTTTTTTTTTTGATTGTTTGGTGTTTTTTTTTTTTTTGTGTTTTTTTTTTTTTTTTTGTGTCATAAGTTTAACTAAATGTGTTCTCTTTCTTTTATTTTTTATTCTTTGATTTTTTATCTCCTACTTATCTATATATATGTTTGCTTATATAATAAGATAAGTTTAAACTATTACAAGGCATAAAACCAAGCATTTGTTTTGTTTTGTAGCTGGATATTCGGTTTTATTGTTTTTATAAGATATGCATTCTTCAAGAGAAACCTCAAGCATCGGGATTTGACTGCTTTCTATAATCGGTTATTTGTTTGCTTTGTGGTAAAGCGTATAATGCAGTAGCTATGAGCGGAGCCACTGGTTTAAATGGACAGTCTGCTGCTCACTATGGTTTCTTTCTAGCACGTCGGGCTGCACCTTGGACTCCTGGCGACCCCAACTGTCTGCTGGATGTATAGAAGCCAATTAAGATCCGTCAATAACACCACCAGACCATCACATTTACTTTGTTTAGTGCGTGTGGGGGCAGCTTGTAATCAACTACACTGGAGGTTGTGTTTTTTGCATG